TCTCTCTCTCTCTCTCTCTGCATAAGGTTCTTTCATTCGTTTATCCTTCGTCCAACCTTTTCTCTCATCTTTGTTATTTTTCACCGGGTTCCCTTGAAAACTGCCTCAACTGTCTCAACAATAAGTGTTTACCAAATAAAATCCTATTTTGTTTACATAATCAAATTAATACGAACAGGTAAACCACATGTCAACCTACTATAATATTTATGCCCCCATGGCGACGCACCGTGTAATTATCCAGTTTCAATAAAAGTACGGTTACGCGCATCCAAGAATGAGATTGCAGAGAGCAGGGAGGATTAACCTTTGTTGCTTTGTTTTCCTTTTTTGTTATCTCTTTCTTTCTCTGTGGGCCCATGCACATATGCGGTTTGTTTCTCCTTGCAAGCATCCTTTTACTGAATCTATTTGTGTCGGTACCTCAACCTGCAAGTGTTGATCAAAAGTAGAAAAGCACGACCTGGCCCAAAATAGATCACTATTCACTTGCTGTCCTCTTTGTCTCAAGGTCCAGCCCTTGCTCTTGGTTGTTGCGGTTTGTTGCCAAACTGTTGGAAAGTGCCCGACCGAAGAAAGTAATGGCACCGTCACTGTGAACTGCTTCCACTCACTCAAGGAGATGAACCACCATAGCTAATAAAACATCACAAGGAAAAAATGAAAGAAAGAAAACAACACTATCTTGTCTCCATTATTCAAGTGAGACATATCTATGTGCCAGCGAACAAACAATAAGAGAATTCCAAAGATTGCAATTATCCACTTATTTAGGGGATCTATGAGGTCAGTCACATGCGATGCACATGACTAATTATTGGGGAAGGTGCTACCAAATCATAGGGCTGCATGCTAAAGGTGAAAGAGAAGCAACCTCCCAGTTGACCTCTCCCCATGAGCCGAGATGCTGCCATGTCAAGAAGAAGCGTCTGCGCGACACTAGATTTGTTTGGGCTCGACCAAAGCAGCTTGCCATTTCCTTTCTCTTTTCCCCCTCCTTTGATTTATTCCTCTCCCTTTTTCTTTTTCGCGTATTTGATCCCTATCTACCATGCAATTTTAGGCTATATTTTTATAGATCAGTAAAGGATGATGCATCCATAAAAAAAAAGAGTAAAGGATGATGCACTAGGGATTGCATCATGGGGTCTGGGGTCAGATGACCGAGGACTTTTCCTTGTAAATAATCAATGGCATGGAGCTCGACACAAGCAACGCAGATACTATTTCTTGGATCTTGACCTGGCATTCATGATCTGCATTCTGATTTTAAAGGTGTTTATTTATATGTCCTCAACTCAAACTACTAGTACAAGCTACCACCATAATGTAAAAGTTTTGTGTCCCTGGAACTCCTGTTGTCATCCTCTCAAACTCAAATGATGAGAAAGTCAAACTATACGCACCTAGCCCGAACTTGCCAATACTTTTCTTGACTTGACTTGTGCTTGCTGCTACTTAATCATATGGTATCAGCATCACTGGTGGTATTCTTCTATGCTCTCTAGCAAATTTTTATGCGCGTCGTAATCCCCATCTGTCCAATCCTCTTCAAGTATACGATATATAATCCAGAGGCAAGAATTGGCCTCCTAAATTACGCGTTTACGACCACTATGAAACTAAGATTACGCTATAAATAAACCATGATTGCAGCAACAGTTGGCCAATCAACTTTCAGACAAATATGTCCTTGTAAGAGATTGGTTGAAACAGCTCAGCTGGGTGGACAGTGATGGGGAGATAGTTGAAAGGAGGTAGAACTACTTCACATGCTGTCTACAAGGCGCTACTTGTGCTCACCTGCTTCTCTCTCTCTCTTTCTGTCTCTCTCCAGATTCAGTCAAGGAGGAGTTGGATTAAAGGTAGAAGAAGAGGAGACGGCATCTAGATCAAGGCTCCGACATTCGTTCCTTTAGAGCAGGGATAACTTGTGCTTCAATCCTTGCTTGTCACGTCTTGATGATCTTTTTAGCTTCCTCTTTTCTTTGATTCTAAGATCCAACGGCTCACATTATGCCATGAATACCACCTTCGGACTGGTATACAAGGCGTTATCCTGTTTTTGGGGTAATTCTGTCCAACGCACCCACCTTGGCCTCTGAAAAATTCCGGCGACACATAGTGACGATGGAGTAAGAAAATACAAGTTATATTCCCCCAGAAATATACCACTGGATTTGCATTCGAAAGATGTTTCCGGCAGCCTGCTTTTACTGTTATGTATGCAGCACAAAACTAGAGCTCTAGTCCGATGTAGTTGGCGACCAAATTCTACTAAAGTTGTACTAAAGCAACGTCAATTAATATGAATCGGAGGGAGTATAAGAACACCCAAAGATGCAAAGTGAAAGTTCATAATTGATGGGCTCCTGATTTTCTTTGAAAAGAACGCGTTAATGTCAAAATTTTCAGTTTTCCAAAGAAAGGAACTGACAGTATTTTGATAAACATGTTCAGCATATGATTTACCTGGAGATGGATCCATATGGTGGGCAAGAGAACATTATCAGCAGGGACAAATAATTAAGCACACCAGTCACTTGTGGACGGCGGAATAATTTGGAGGCTACAAAAGCAGCCTCTCCCTCCAGACCACATCATCACAGCCCAACACGCCAAAAAGAACAATTGGCCACACATACCACCCCCTAAAAACAAATGCCAGGTACACCTTTTTGTATGCAAACTACTAGAAGACCTGTGTCCACCATAGCGTAGAGAAGCTTCCTTGGACCATCAATGGCAGCTCAGCAACAAAATACCATCCCATCTCACTCACATGCACAGGGATCATGATTGACTTGTACTATGTTATTGCCCACTACGACGCTTGAGCCGCAAGTGATAAGCGCCCCAGAGGGAATTATGTAAAGGGTTTGCTCGCTTCTCGCTTAAGCCTGCCCAGAATATGAACATCAATACCGCCTTTTTCTTTTCAAACTGATAGGGGTCTGAAAAGCAGATGAAGAGAAAGAGCAGAGTTAGATATATATCACGACGGAATATACAAGGAAAAGCACAGGAATGTACACAAATTCATGTGACGAGTTCTACAACTTTGGGACACGCGAGAAACATTATCTTTTTGCTTGAACCCATGATCAGTTCACACGTAGTCAGCTTAGATGCAGCTTTGTGTGAACTTTGTTAACAATATCACTAACACCACTGTTGTGTTCCCCACATGAACTTTATAGTGGTGCTATCATGACTGCAAAAAAATAAAAATAAAAACTGGTTGCAATGCATAGCAAAGCCCTACTGGATATGTTATTCGATCAGGAACTGGGCAAGCAGGGCTGGGAAGTTCAGACACCAAAATTCAGCAAACTAACGAGCGAGAACAAACTCACGTGAGATGAGATTCCTACAATTAAACATTAACAGATATAATTGCCATCCATCAGGAGGTTCTCTCTTAAAAGTTTTTTATCTATGTGCAAGAGAAATTACATATGCACAGGCTTAATGTAAACTGCAAAACACCTCTTTGTTACACTAAGAGGACAGACGACGACAAGACAGCAATTATATCTTTCACAAAAGAGAGGTATCATTTAAAGCAGTGTTGTATCACTTGAATGACTAGGATATCAAGAAGCCATCATCTGAAGAAAAAGAAAAGGAACCTTAAAAGTTATATGACACCTTAGCAGTTAGCATATAATATGTCCCAAGCTGTGTAACTTGTCAGTTTTCCTCAATCTAGCATATACTCCTTCCGTCCCAAAGTAGATGTCTCAACCTTAGTACAACTTTGTACTAAAGTTCGTACAAAGTTGAGACACTTATTTTGGGACGAAGGGAGTAGTAACTAAGGACTACCATAGAATAAGCACATATTTCACTAACTAAAGATCCACAAATTGCAGGGATGCCAGAGACAGAAGATGATGGTTGAAACAACCAAGTGTTGCTGCTGCACTGCAAACAAGTCAGAAATTGGGCAATTCTTACCCAAAATCACGAAGGAACAGAAGTGATCTCCAAGAATATTTCATCAGCATCCACTTTTTTTCATCTGCGGTACCCTCTTACAAAACGTTTGATGTCTGCAAAGTCTAAAACTGCCTCCACGTCGCAAAAAGATGAGCTCCACTTTGTACTAATGAAGTCGACAAGAAACTCTGACTGCTTGTTGCCATTTGTCTGCCACACAGACACAAAGAGATTTTTGCATGTTACGTCAGTGAAAATACTAATATTCCTTCAGGACTTGCGAAGCAACAAATCCAAAAAAAGCGAAAGCATGATGTGCATCTGAGGGAATACCAATCAAGGCACTGTAGGGTAGCACATATAAAAGCAACACAGCTTGTTCCATGTTATGTGATACTCCCTCAGTTAATATGAGATGTTTGGATATATCAATATGACAATATGTACTACATACAGAATGAAATGAGTGACCAAACACACTAAAATGCGTCTATATACATCCGAATCAGAAAAGAATTAGAACATCTTATAGTAATGAATGGAGGGAGTATCTCTTTATGATCTTGTAAGCAAGTGCACAACCAATCACTTACAAAATAATTATCTGAAAGTCATAAAAACGAAATTGCTCCTACAGCTAAACATGAAACATATTGGTAACAATTTAAGCCCATATTGGACTGAATTATTCGTTTGAAGTTATCTAGCAACTTACAGTGTCATGTACAATGGTGATGGTAGTTAACAAAAATATGCAAATCTAAGATACATGACATCTGAGGATGCTTTACCTCAAAAACAAAGAAACCACCAGGCATCAGTGCCGAAGATAATCCTTCACATAGATGAAGCAAATGATCAAGGCCATCTTTGCCTCCATCAAGTGCCAATTTTGGTTCATGCCAACCAACTTCAGGTTGCAGGCCAGGTAGATCATCAGTTGGTATGTATGGAGGGTTACTAATGACACCCATCAGTTTTCCTTTGACATCTTCTAGAGGTTCAAACCATGAGCCGCGCCTTATCTCAACTTTATCCTATTTTCAGTACACAACATTAACAATGAGAATTCATATGTAGTTCTGCAAAGCAATGCAAATTTAACTGTGCAGAACAATTAAAACCCGGAAGCAGTAGCCAATAATTTTGCTTCTGGGAGTAGCTGCAGTAGCAAGTAGCTCTTATAAGAAGGTGTAATAGACTAAAAGTACAGTTACTAATAAAATGTGTTCTAACTCGAATATTTCCTTGAACATAAAATATGTTCTAGGCCTTCCAAAATCAGAATCTCAAACAAACACATCAGATTCTTACCTAGCTTCCTAGAATCGATTTTGGAAAATGAACTACCAGGCAAGCCAAGCCGGAAGCAGCGATTTTGGTGATTCTGGCGATTCTGCACCTTCCCACAAAAGAAAATGGTTTATTTTCACTCCTTGCACCTGTTTCCAGTCAATATTACAATGAAACTGCCACTGCAGCCCTATCTGAGCGAACTGTCCCAGCCACACATCTCTCGTCTCCCCAAAGCTATTCCCCCACCGGCATCTTTGCTCACCGCGTCCTCCACCCGTGACTCTTCTCTCCTCTCATCTCTCCCGTCTGATCCAAGGGCCTCCCAAAGGGCCTCGCCACGCCAGCCATCTCCTCCCGTCGCTTGCGTCCAACACCTCGCTGCCCAGCATGCCGAACTCCTTGCCGCCGTGATCCGAGACCTCCGTGAGCGGCGGCAGCTTCCCGTCCAGATCCCCGTTGGCAACCATGGCCTCATCGTAGTAATCGAACTGGGACCTGCTGGTGGCGTAGAAGTCCTCGGACAGGCTGGCACCGTGGATGTAGAACAGCGGCTCGTTCGGCGTCCTCCCACAGGGCCTCCAACCGTCTCCTCCTGCACCGCTCTCGTCGGTGGTCAGCTTCGTCCTTGCCGCGCCCTTCCACGCTCTGGTCCGGCCTCACCAACCCCGCCGCCCCGAGCTTCCTCCTGTGCTGCCTCCTGCACCAAAATCTCCACCTTCTCCCTCATGGACAGTCTTGGGGATGAGTAGTTGCTCAGTTCATGTGTGTTTTCTGAGAATGTGTATGTATATCTGTATGTATGTATGTATGTATGAATTGGAAGATTTGTGAATTGTTCAATGAATGTGACTAGTTCTGCAGGTTTCATGATTAACCAATTCATTCAGGGGCGTTGTAGACATTTCACAACAGTTCTAATTTTCCAAAAGCAGGGAAAACAAACGGAGAACTTCTGATTCCCAAAATCTGTAGCCCCAGCCGATTCTTAGGAATCCAGGCCAAACCTGATTCTTAGGAATCTGTAGCCCAAACAAACAGGGCCTTAAACTCATTTCCTATTCAAGCTGATTAATCAGAAAATCTAAAACCTGGCAGTAGCCAAAAAAAATTCCAAGCTGATTAGTAAGAAATAAATTTTAGCTGTGCAAACAACTAAAACCCAGTGGTAGTAGCCATTTTTTTGCTTCAGGGTATAGTTGTGGGACTAACAGGAGCAAGTAAGTAGACTATGAAGTACAATTACTACTAAATGGTGTTCCAACTTGAAGTGTTTACCAAATGTAAATCTCAGTTGTGGTTTAACTCGCTTGCTATCTACACTAATAAGTCAAAATCAGAACATGAAACAACGTCACTTCCTGTAACCAGTATCAACCCATCCGATGTTGCGTCTTGGCAACAAATTAAAATCCACCCTACGCTGAATTTATTATGCTACGAGCAATTATATTTTGCCACCAATGCATGCAGCAATTCTTACACCATGTGCTTAACCATATCAACTGCATTTGTTATACAGCAAATATAAACTGATATATGACTAACCAAAGTATTCCGACATGAATTGGCATCTCCATTGAAACAAATAACCAAATAGACTTATCTACATGACCATTTGTATATAATCAAGTCGATTACTTACTGACATAGCACGACTTCACTTAAGGAAGTTGATCAGCGTATTGGTCACCTCCTTGATAATTGATATCACCATGTCGCTCAGCACCTTCATTTGGGCAATCTGTTGCTTCTGGATTTTCATGTTAATTAATGGGTGGGGCCTTGTCATCAACAAGCTTCAAGAATAGAAGCTTAAACATGCTGTGGTGATTTGCCTCGAGTGCCAACACTTCCTGCCCGATATACCAGTAAGAATCACACTTCTCTTTGAAGAGTTTCTCCAAATTACTCTTAGGCAGAACATGTTTGGCAACCTCATCTTTTTCTTGGACTCGGTTGGCTCGATGAGTTAGGCATGCAGCGCATTCCTGTTGCGCTAGGGCTTCTCGGCCACATTCTACTTCGAGGTAGCTGGCTTGGGCTGCACCATGTCAGCTTCGGACTCAATATCATGGGCATCAATGTCCTCGGAGTCAGACTCCGAGTCTCTCACCTTGTCCTCAGGTACATGATACTAAGTCTGAGAACTACAAGGTGCAACCCAAGCCAGCGCCCTTTCAAAAGAGAAAGTGGCCAAGAAGCCCCAATGCAAGAGGAAGGCACTGCAAGCCAAACTCGCCAAGCCAACCAAGCCCAAGAGGAAGGCCTTCTCATCTCAGATGAAGAGGATGTGAGCTAAGGTTGGCGAAGATGGTCTGTCTAAGAGTAATCTAGAGAAGCTCTTAAAGGAGAATTACGATTATTAGCGGTGCCTCAGGCAAGAGGTATTGACACTGGAGGCAAAATATCTCGGCATGTTTAAGCTTCCGTTCTTGAAGCTTGTTGATGAAATGCCAAGCCCTCAACACTAAAACCCAGAAGCAGCCCAAAACAAAGGTGCTGATGTGACACGGTGATACTAAGAAGGTGACAAATACGTTGATAAACTTGCTTAACTGAAGTCATGATAGGTTGCTAAACTGATCTTTTGTTATGAGCTTCCACTTGGTTAAAAATAAGTAACCGACTTGATTATATATACCATGGTCATGTTGAACAAGCCGCTGTCTGGTTATTTGTTTTGAATTTGGGTTGGTCATATATCAGTTCGTACTTGCTCTATAATAAATAAATGCAATAGATATGCTTAAGCACATGGTACAGCAATTGCCGCGTCCATTGGTGGCGAAAAAAAAATGCTGGTAGCACAATAATAATTATCCACCAATTTATGTCAGATATTTTGGTTGGTCATATATCAGATCGTACTTGTTGTATAACAAACAAATGCAGTTGATATGGTTAAGTACAAGGCGCTACAATTGTTGTGTCCATTGGTGGCAAAATAGAATTGCCGCTACATAATAAATGATTATCCACATTTCACCCTACACTACCTGTTTGACGGCACTGTCTTGAACTACATTGTAACACAGATTCAGTTAGCTCACTACACCGACGGATGATAACCAGGAGAACATCATGCATTATCTAGCAGGGTATAAGTGGCACCATTTTAGTTTGATCAGAGTGGCTGTAAAACAGCTTAAATTTCCCAATCCTAGACACAACCGAGATCGCCTCACCTGCACCCCGTACCTCTGGACGTTGAGCCGCGCGACCTCAACAGCGACCTTGCTGACGTCGGTGGCGAACACCCTCCCCCCGGGTCCCAGCATCCTGGCCACGGCCACGGCGATGGCGCCGCTGCCGGTCCCGAGGTCCGCCCACCACCCGTCCTGGAACCCCTCGACCGCCGCGACCATGTCCACGACGGCCTCCGTCTCGGGCCGCGGGATGAGCACGCCGTCCCGGACCGCGACCACCAGGTCCTTCCAGTGCTCGTTCCCGACCACGTACTGGAACGGGCGCCTGTCCCGGACGTGGCGGAGCCACAGAGCCTCGAGCTCATCGAGGGGCGCGCGGAGGAGGTGGGGCGCCGACGGGTCGGCGCTGGACGGGGCGGGGGCGGAGGCGTCGGCGAGGAGCCAGCGGAGGTGGCGGTGGAGGTGCGGAGCCGAGGGCGGGACGAGCGCGGCGGCCCGGCGGCGGAAGGCGGCGAGTGAGGCCTCCGGGACGGGGTGGGTCGGAGGGCGGAGGAAGAGCGGCGTGGGGTCTGCGTCCTCCGGGAGGTCGGGAGTGGTGGTACGCGGGGTGGGCGGCGTCAGCGCGGAGGCGGAGGCGGAGGAGTGGAGGGGTCTGAGGAGGAGGAGGAGGCGGCGGGGTTTGGGCTTGGGGAGGAGGAAGGCGGAGAGGATGGGTCGGGCGGACAGCGAGAGCATGGCTTCTTGAGAGAGAGGGGAAAGGAGGAGAAAAATGGCGGCTGAGGGAGTAAAAATGGACAGATTTGACCCTACAGGTTAGGGCATATACATACAAGACCCTTAAATCGGACGTCTGCGAACAGGTGGAAAAGACTTCATCGATAATGATGCAGGAGCCGCCATCCAACCATATCCTTACAATCATACCCTCATACATTTCAAACAGGATGTTAACAAACATGACGGACTTCATCAAACACGATGGAATTAAAAAAATAGGGCATAATTTTCATAAAACAGACATATTTCGTCTATAACTAAACCAAGCCCGCAAGACACAAAGTAGTAATTTTAGAAAAATAGCACAGTTTAACCATGCAAATATCTATAGCACAAAAAAAGTTTAAATTCAACGAGATATCGAGATGTTCAACAAGTTTTCCGAAAACATCCATTGCAAATTCAATGATGCTAGAGCCAGACTCGGCACATGTCGTCCCACACAAATTGCCCCTTAAACTTCATCCAACAAATGTATGTGCATGAATGGCCTGCCCTCAGTCATGTAGTACACCAAGGAAGCGCGTGCAGGCTATACAACATCTAGAGCAACACTGAGTGAATAAATGAATTAACCAACATGTAGAATAACAACAAGCAACACTTACGATATCTATATGATTGACGAGCCCAATGGCCAACTTGTATCCACTTGGTCAATCGCACCACAAAACTTCATGATGGAGATGCAGATGGCGTACCACCAATGCATTAGTGGCTTCACATTACATGCATGGATGACCATGTTGTAGAGTGCAAAGTTCTTTGCTCATGAAATGAAGCATACAAGCTTTGCCAAAAGGTCGGGCTCTTGTCCATGCCTACAAAGTCCGTAGAAATGGCCAACAACGCATCACACAACAAATTATCCTCGATCACCAGCACCCCGCCATGGTGCTTCTCACAACAATAATTAAAAAAAACTCAACGAATTTGATCGAACATCCGTCGGGCACGGTGTCCGCCATGGACGATGTTAGTAGGGGTGCGGAGGTACCTGGATGCGAAGGGATTCTTGGCTGGACAGCGGCATAATCCAAGGTGGACATGCACGTGGGTGGGTTTTGCGGACGGTCGAGGATGCCTAGGCGGCGACTAGAGAGGTACATCGATGACGTCAGACGATGAATGTGCAGATGAAAGAAAGAGGGGAGCAGGGGCGGAGTGGAAAAAAGGGGACTGGGAGGGGGGTTTGGGTGGACCCGGGGTGTGAGAGTCCTGCGTGGCTGGTGTCCGGACTCTTGCACCCCCCCCCCCCCGAGTTTTCCTCCAGTCTGCGAGAAAATGAACGTCGGGACCGGCCCGCATACGGATGGGGTATTGCATCAGATGGCAAAATACATCTGGATAGCTCAATCCAAACGAATGCTGGTGGTTTAAGGGTCAACGTTGGAGATGCCCTTAGTTGTATCTAATTCCCATTGGTATCACTGCTGGAATCAGGGATTTTGCCGTCTGCCAGTTCTTTGCCGTCTGCTTGCAGACGGCAAAGAAGATCTTTGCCATCAGCTACCAAACAACAGACGGCAAAGAAGGTATTTGCC